GGCATAGCCAGAATATGCTAATGGTTACTGGAATATATTCTTATTGCGATTTTGTAGCATCTTTTAAAACTCGCCTTATATCTGATACCTCTTCAAAACATGGGCTGTCCCTTAAATTTTTACGTTGACAGGAATTCTGCTATTCTTTGAACTATATGTATCAACATTGCTTTAAAATTGTAAAACTAGACCCATTTCGAATTTGGTTTGAAACATGTTATAATTGAATACAGCATTTCCCATTGTATAAAATTAATTATTGTTCAGAGGCAATTTTTGGATAAAAACCTTTTTTCAGTAATATAATAGAGCATTAGGGCATTAATATATTAGTGCACTGATAATTTATTCCTATTATTCAAAAAAAATTTTCAAACACAATAAAGAAATGCAAGTTGAAGCACATTTTATTTATTCATATGCAAAATAAATATTTGAAAAAAGGTAGTACATACCAAAATAATATTAGAAATGCATCGGGACTAACTATCTAAAAACAATTCACTTTCAATCAGAAAATTCTGAAATATTTACATATGTGTACTCTTAATTTTTTTTTTCTCTACTTCGAGATACCTGTGATTACCTCGAAAACAGGAAATACGTCGGAAACGTCAAAATACCTGCAAATATTCGAAGTAGAAAACTGTCAAACGTTAAAGGTCAACAACATGGAGAGCAAAGTCAAAGCCTTTAAACACCAAAAATCATTGACCTTTAACCTCGGATCATTGACCTTTGCTTCTGACCCAAGAGATCAATGACTTCTGACTTCGGGATTGATTGACCTCTGACCTCCGGGGTTACGGAGCATTGACCCACGGGGACATTGATCTCAGACTTTCAAGTTCTTTGTTCCCGGAATCTTATCTGTGGGAACTCTCTAATTGATCATTTCCATGGGATCATTGACCCTTCCCCCGAAGTGATTGACCTTTTCTCCTGGGGGCACTAACTTTTGACACCCGGGGACATTGAACTTTGGCTTCCAGGGTAATTGACCTTTGGCCCCTGCACCATTGACCCCTAACTTCCTGGGTCATAGGCCTGTGGATTAAGTTGTCGAGGTATTTGGAAGTTTTTGAATGTGATTTGATTTATTGAATTGCATTTCACAACGGCTGAATTATTCTCGGCTATTCTCAAATAGAATTTCATGGGCTTGTGTATCTTTTGCATCCAAAGGATCCTAGATAGTAAATATAAGTGAGAAAACATTTTTAATTTCGAAATGACTTTCGGGAAACGATTTTTCTGTTTTAATGTCTTACGCCTATTTTGAGAAAGGAAGCCTAAGACTTTCAAATTTAGCACGAGAACTTTGCCTTCATTTCAGTTTAAAACCCTTCTTAATAACGACTTCTCGATATTGTCGATAATGTTTGTCCAATTTGTGTGCACCTGCGAAATTAGTGCGCGTGCGTCAACCAACGCGCCTACAAATGCCTCTTGTTAAAAGAAGAAAAAATAACTGTACAGAAGAAATAATGTAGAAGCACTACTTTGTTTACAAAGTTTGTTACATTGTCCAGTTTATAATAACATTTTTAGTCTTTTCTTTGTATATTTCACCGTTGTATACCAGAAGTGTAATATATTGAATAAATTCTTTCAACAAAAACAACAGTCAAGACTTAATGGATTTTACATATTTGAAATGACATAGATTTCGTTTCACTAATAAGCCACATATCTAGTAGTAAATGCATATACACATATGAAAAAAATACGGCGGTGACATCATTTTTGACAGTAAGCGATGTTTCGCATTATAGTAGCTATGTCCTGTCCAAATTTGGTTAGTGCAGCTCTCTCGGTTTGGAAAATTTATTCCTATGTATGTTAATAATTCCAAATATTTTGAATTTTCACCACCAAGAACGGCGGTGATATTATTTTTTATAGTATAAAGGCGATGTTTCGCATTGTAGTAGCTATGTCCTGTCCAAATTTGGTTAGTGCAGCTGTCTCGGTTTCGAAAATTCGATACCTATATATGTTTCGAACCACAAAAATTGAATAATAATATAGGTAGTACAAAGTAAAGTAATAAATTTTTGTATATACGAATAATAAAAAATCCTTGAAATTTACATGGTGCTTTTAATTAGTACACTTGGGTGGTCCCAACATTTAATTTATTGCTGAGAATTTTTCAGTCATTTAGTGCATAATCATTTCATTTAGCTGTGTCGGCTAATCAAATTCGGACCCTTTAAAGACAGTTATTCAATGCATTTTAAAATACGTCTACTTTTTCTAAAAAAAGCGTTTTTCGTCAAATCATAAACATAATAAAAGCTGTGGGAATTTAGTTAAGCTTTTTTCATATCTGCAATGGTTTTTATCCACAAAGGATGTTTATGTGTTGAACGCATATAATAATAGCTTAATTAATTAAAATTAAAAACCTATTTTATAGAAGAAAATGTATCACGTTTGTCATCTTATTTAAAGGCGTACGTTCAAACAAATAATTTTGTAAAGAAATAGTAAATCGTTCTTATTTCGAAAATTGTTAAGTTTATCGATTTTTAACAGGTATATCTTTTTTATTCAGAATTGAACGTAGTTTAATAATTTCTTATTGGAAATTCAGATTTTTGAAGGACAAAAAAGTTTGACATAATATGTTTACTCCGACGGAACACTACAACTAGCGCATTCTAGGTGTGATTGCAAACTTTCAAGACAATCCGTTCAAAGATGCTCAAGATATTTAAAAAAATCGAAAATATTTTTTCAAATTTAACACCCTGTAGATCGAAAAGGAGTAACATTCGGATAAGGCATATTTGGCTTAATCGCTCTATTTTGAGGTCAGCAACCCCTGTATACAGTGTGTCCACGGATGGAGTTGACAAGAGAAACACTCTTTTGTTTCTGACTATCGAAAAATTTTACTTTTTATAAAAAGTTCTGCGCCTCGAAAAAATGAGACTGTCATACAAACATCTTAGATTAGATATATAGGGTGCTCATAAATTAAAAAAACACGAAAATACTCAAGAGAGAAGTACCATTATTTGTTATTTTACACAACATTTTTATAAAACAAATATGTTTATAACTCAAATAATGTCCTAATACGAATTTTAAAATAAAAATTTCAATTCTGACTTACTCTATATGTATGTATAGCTACTTCCAACCTCAAAAATTAAAATTTTACTTGAAGAATTTATTTAAGGGGTATATTTGAGTGAAAGCACTCAGTTTTAGTTTAAATATAATCACAAATGAGAGTAACATGACCAAAATGCCCATATTGAGTGAAAATGTAGTCGATAATTTCGCTCAATGGTAAATAAGTTCTTTGGTTCTTTGCAGGAATTGCTTAATACACGGTCTTTCTGAAAAAATGATACCTATCAAATATTTTGGTTGGTATATGAACATAAAACAACGCCATCTACACGCATGGCAATAAACCCCCGCCTAAATTGAAACGGTGAAAACCAACGACCTCAGAAAGGATAGACAGTGCATTGTCTTGGTTTGTTTTGTTCTACTGTAAATATTTTGAGAACTCAGCTTCCTATTGGCTAAAGACACGTGGTAAGGTGCGCGCGCAGTACCTGCTCTATGCTTGATGTTTATTATTGTTTACGACTGTCGGCCGCCATTAATTCTTTGCGTGCTTACTGAGTTTAACGTTGTGTTTACCGTGGATTATTAGTTTCTTTGGCAGAATTTATAGTTTTTGTGAATAGACAATGGGAAAATATTGTGTTATATGCTGTAGATTTCGCTTTAAAAGTGGAGGCAATCGCTCTTTTCACAGGTAGGTAGATTTACCATGGGCGTAACAGATAACAGACGGTAGTTTAAAACAAAATTTGAAATAGAAAATTTCCAGTGCAATAATATTGAAAATATAAAATATTTTTTTAAAACGTGAATTGTGTGTTACGGTTAAATAAAAAGTAACATGAATTGCAAAGGCAACATTATTTAAAAGGAAATATACCTAGGTAATTTGATTTTAGGATTCCTTCGAATGTTGAATGCTGAGACGTTTGGCTCTCTCGCATTTTGAGCTGCATAGGAAAGGAAAATAGTCCTAAAGATAGTGTTGTATGTTCAGATCACTTCACATCAAGTGATTTCTTAATAAGACCTGGTGGCCGAGTTTATCTTAAGGACACAGCAGTTCTTGAGTTCCCAAGTTCGTTTAGTCAAAATACAGGACCCCTATTAAAATTGTATAAACAATTTTTTGCACATAATTCAGGATCACTTTGCAGCAATTGTCACCATAACAAATTAGATCCAATAAATCTGTTTTGAGAATTAAAGAACTTAAAAATATGTGTAATAACCCCATTTACTATTTCTCTTTCATTTATCACTTAATTGTCCTACTTGATATGCATATTATTGTATACAAGTATAGTATAGCTGGCATACTATATGTAACTGTAACTGTAACTTTGTGATTCCTATTTGAACTGGTAAAAACTTTTATTAATTAGTTTATTTAACATATTGATGTATATTGTTACTGAGAAAATAAAGATTGTTGTAACTAGTATTACTTTTTTTCGGCAGTAAGTGCCGTTATTTAGTAAAACAAACATGGTTCTATTTATTTAAAAAAGAAGTCATTAACATTATTTTAAAACCAAATTAGGTGTGAAATCGGTAACTACATATATAAATTAGACAAATATTAAAATGTATCACCCTTTTTAACACACACGCCACTGGTTAAGAGTTCCCTAGTAAACAAAGAACTATCTTCATCCTTGTTTAATAGCAGGATGTCTCAAGTTGTGGAAAATCAAAACAATTCCTTTGCAATGCATAGGGAATTACTTGTCTAGTCATTCTGAGGTCTTTGGTGAAAACGGCATTTTGCGTTTCAATTTTCATGGCGGGGCACGATTTGCGGCACGAAACGCCGATGATCGATCCATTTGTTACAAAACAAATAAAAGTCTATTATCCGATGAGGGGCTTCGGTATGGGAAAAGATAAAACAAGAACACGATACTTACATCCTGATACCAGCTATAGCTGTGAGGAGGAGGACGTGCTGAGGTTTCACATCGCAGGGTAACGTCTGTGCCTTCCCTTACGGGCGACGTCGCTCCGGAGTCCATCATTACTGCCACTCTGGGAGGATCTGAAACAATCAACTTTCATTTATTATCTGGGAGTATCCGTCTTATAAAGAATGATACTATGTGTCAGTCAGAGATAAAGCATATAATAATGTGTTTCTGCCCCTTAATAAAGGAAGTCCGGGGAGATATTCTATAGGGGGAGGCATTTCACTAGGTTGGCGACGAGAGATTTATACACTCGAGTCACTTCTATTCGGAGGTAGGCAGTGGGGAACAGAAGGGACATTTTTTTAATTGATAGCGATTTTCACCCTTCTTTCGAACAAAACATTTCTTTAATGACGCGTTTCAGCTGTATACAGGATGTTTCACCATTAATAGCGCAAATTGAAACAGCACCACAGCAGAAAAAAGTCTTAGTAAACGTGGGTTCGCAAACGCACCGTTTTCGAGATACAGGGTGTCAAAAAAAAAAGTTTTTTTCAGTTTTTTGCCGATATCTCAGGTCTCAGGAACCGTTTGAGATAAAGAACTCAAATTTTGTAATTATCATTAATATTAGTTGCTGTTGAGCGCTAATTCAATTTTTATCCATATGACAGTGGCGGAGATTTTAGGATTGCATGAGGTTCTTAGGCTGTAATTTTTACGACTCTGGGAAAATTGGCATTTTGAAAGGTACACCATCAAAAGCTCTAAGGCGAATTGTTTTCGAGATGAAAAACATGAAAGAAAGTGCAATGTGATAAAAAAAAAACTATTTCAACACTAAGCAAACAACAAAAATCACAACAGTTGTTGAAAACGGCCTCCTTCTACGGTAATGCAGGCTTCCAATCTACAATACGATCTGCAACACTTCGGGTATTTATTGTCAGTCACTCAGACGTAGGATGGAATCCGAAATTCCTGAATAAAAGATGGCGAATCCAATACGGCGTATTAGACCAGGGCTGATCTGTCGAAATTTCCCACTTTTCCGATGTACGAGGGGCAAGCTAATTTTTGCTGGAATACCTTCAGTACAACTCACGTAATAAAAGTGTAGATCCCTAGATCTGGGCGAGATCCGGAACATTTTCAAAATTGCAAAAATGTTTAAAAAATTTTAAAAAATGCCTATTTTATCTGAGTTTTTTACTTATATCTTGGAACCTATGCATTTTGGAATTGAATTTTGCACAATATAATGCAAGTTAAAAATGTTTAAATTTATTATCGATGTTGCAAAATAGCAATAATTGATGAAAAATAGTTTTTTAATATTTTTTAAAAATATTTTAATTGCTCCGAGGGCATTCTAATTTTGATAAAAAAAAAACTCTAGAGTATAATAAAACAACACACCAAATCTCATTAAAATCGGTCTATAGTTTTCGCAAAATAATTTTATGAAAAAAAAATTGAAAAAAATTTTCGAATATTCAAAATGTTGCACAGCTTCAAATAAATCATCTAGACACTTGAACATTTTTTCACATAGAAAAGACCGCTCAACCTTTCAAATGGTTTTTGAAAAATTGATATCGATTGATTAGTTTACCACAGTAAATTTTTAGTCTTTTTTTTATGTTTAAATAATTGGATTACATTTATCAATTTGCAATTGTTTTCTTCAAAAATTATAATTTTAAAGTACTCGGAAAGACACTTCTTTAAAAAAAATTTGCGTTTATTGATTTTCGAGACATAAGCGGTCAAAGTTTATCGGCATTTGCCGTTAATTTATAAACAATTTAGCAATAATCCAGTGACTTCGTTTTTCCGAGTTCTAAGCTGGAAAAAATTTTCGTATCCATAAGTTATTGGCAACATAGATTTACATAACTTTTGCTTAAAAAAATTAAAAAAAAATTAATTGGTAATTTTTTTTTGTTAAATACAGATAAAAACAAGAAAAAATAGTATTTTAAAATCATAATTTTTGAAAAAAACTAAATTGCAAATAGATAAATGTAATCTAATTTCTAAAAAATAAAAAAGAGTTAACTATAAAAAAATTACTGTGTAATTAATTTTTCAAAAACCATTTGACAGGTTGAGCGGTCTTTTCTATGTGAAAAAATTTTCAAGTATCTAGATGCTTTATTTGAGGCTGTGCAACATTTTGAAAATTCGAAAATTTTTTCAAAATTTTTTTCAAAAAATTAGTTTGCGAAAACTATAGAACCGATTTTTATGAAATTTGGTGTGTTGTTTTATTAGGTACACTCTAAAGTTCTTTTTACTAAAATTAGAATGCCCTTGGAGCAATTAAAATATTTTTAAAAAATTATTGAAAAAACTTGATTATTTTGCCTTTTTTCGTAAATTATTGCTATTTTGCAACATCGGTAATAAATTTAAACATTTTAACTTACACTATATTGTGCAAAATTCAATTCTAAAACTTTTTTCCTCTTCAATATTCTTCCAAAATGCAGCATAGGTTCCAAGATATAAGTAAAAAACTTGGATAAAACAGGTTTTTTTTAAATTTTTTAAACATTTTTGCAATTTTGAGAATGTTCCGGACCTCGCCCAGATCTAGGAGATCTACACTTTTATAGTTTTAAAAAAATGCCACCGTTTACATCTAAACACAAGTCAGCTCTCTCGGCATTTATTATTCGATCCAGTACCTAATGCATCTGTAGTGTTTACTTTACTTGAATATAACAATGATTTAAACTAACCCCAGAGACAATAATCTAGAGGGTTAAGGTCTGGCAATCAAGCTGGCCGACGATGCGGAATATAGTTTTGTGTTATGTGACGGCAGAGAATAGGACGCATGTTTATAGGAACTTTTATGTTTATATTGGATCCCTGAATACGGACCTAAAATATTGACATTTCCTCCTGACTCACCTTGTATATTCCATAATAGTATGTATGAAACAAAAAGGAGCAGTCTATTTTTCTACACTGAACGCTTCATATGGAATTTACCATATAATATATACCTAGACCTAGGTATAATAAGTAATAATAAGTACCAGCAAAAGTTAATAAAATAATAATTTCTTACTCATAAAGAAAGCGATTGTAGAAAATAATTAACAGTTGTCCTAAGCGTTGCACGGTTTATCGTCTCTGGCGATCATCGGTAAATACCCATTTCAAAAACGAAAATAACCGTTCAACATTTACCGAAGTCATAGACGCATATCTAAAACAGTTGAAGTTTTTAATAGATGCTATTTTTACTAATGGTAGCGAAGCATCAACCACTTCACATTTTAGTCATTAACTATCTGCGTCATTGTACAATAACATGTACATGTCTGCCTCTGATATGAAGCTTCGCATCGATCAATTTATTCGATACGTATCTAGCGACACCCTAATGCCTGCCCTGTCGACCTGTCGTGCCGGTGTACAATCCAGGTGTTTTTGAGTTTGACGCTTTGCTTGGTCGAGTATATGGCACGTGTTTTTATGGCAGTTAATAACACTATTTGGCGTGAGGATAGAGCGGCACACTGCAATTCTCAAAATATACACGTGGATAGATGGATTTCAAAAAGAAATAGGTATTTCCGTCAGTTTGTTGTTATTGGCCAAAGATAAATGAAATTCTTCGTCGAAACAAAAGACGGAAAACTGCCGCGCGCGTAAAACCCACCTAAATTTCGGAAACAATTAGGAGCCGTGGCAGTTGTTAAATTCCATTTATAGCGAAGGAAGGGTTCAGGACAACATCGCGCTAAACTAATTTATTATATAAACTCGTCATGCACGAAATCAGAATAAGAGCAGCAGTAACGTATACCGTCGGTAATCCCGTTAGAGGCGGTCGCCATTTTGGGACGCGGACTGACCTAACATTTGTCAAGATCCGCACGAAACCGTTGGGGCGGTCCACAGCCGCAAATCTTACCTTATTCCGCATCACACTCTAGATTCACTTTACGTCTCCCCGCATTAAAACTAACAACCCTTTTCAGCTTTTTCGCCGGACGTCGGTTTAACGAATTAACGCCAGCCCTGCGCCCGTGTCCTTGCAAGATAATTTACTTTTATAACTCCACGAAAGTTCGGGTCCGCCCCCCCCCCACGCACTCACGGGAACTAATCTAATATAAAGTTTGCGACGTTATTGATACTAGCGCATTAGAAATCTTGGACGAACTCGCTTTGCTGCTTCTTATGTAAAAATAATTGAATTTAATGCAAGGTTTACTTTCTTTTGTTCACTGTCTCCCGGAATACTGATTTTGCAGGTGGATATCAAACATCATAGTATCAATTTTTCTGCGCACTCAGAAAAAAAAAAGAAAACATTAAAAGACAGGGTCAGGTATACTCTACAGGGGTTTAATAAACATACGGCAAAAATTAAAGAGGTTACTCCCTGGACTATTCTAAGAATATTAAAAAAATAGCGTTTTAAAAGTTTAAGTGGGACAGATTAAGGGAAAAATAATCACAGTCCACCAGCACCCCAATTACACCCTCAAAATTGAGCCCCAAAATTATAATTTTGGAAAAAAATTACATTTTTTGTTCTCTCGTTTGAAAATTATTTTTTTCAAATGGTACAAAACATTTTTTTTTCAGTTTTTGAGATGAGGGATAAGAATCCATTGTTTATATTGAGCTAAAAAAAATTTAGAATCCTTAAATTTACAAATATTGCAGTTTATGATGTTTTTAGCTCATATTTCCGCTCTTATGCATTGATTTGCTTGAAATTTGGACATTATGTGGGGAATAGCCCAAGAAACAAAATACACTCTATGCTGATATATATTTTTACCCTGGGGGTGGTTTCTACCCCTTTGTAGGAGTTGAAAATAAATTTTTTCAATATAGAATCGATAGAGCAACTAATTTCAAGCAAAAAATGTCCATACAATTTTTTTGAGTTATTTGCAATTAAAAAATTCAGTATTCAATCGCAAATAACTCAAAAAAATTGTATGGACATTTTTTGCTTGAAATTAGTTGCTCTATCGATTCTATATTGAAAAAATTTATTTTCAACTCCTACAAAGGGGTAGAAACCACCCCCAGGGTAAAAATATATATCAGCATAGAGTGTATTTTGTTTCTTGGGCTATTCCCCACATAATGT